ATTCGAACATTACTTCTTAGTTTGCTGTTCTTTTCTATTATTGATTGACATTTTATCGAATTAATTGGTAAGTCTTAAAGCATCGAATAAAAATTGTCACAGTTAGAAATATCAACACTAAGTGTAATTATCGTTGTTAGGTGGAATGATCAGAGTCTTTCTTTTTCTATATGATTTTTTCATTTTTTTTCTGAGAAATCGTTAATTTTAAAATTTTTCTATCCCTTGATACTTTTAGGATACCTAGGCACACATAAACACACGTGATGAAGTACATCTAAATGTAAACTTTATTTGCCAACTATCTGTCTATAATCACCAACAACCATTGATTGATGTTCAATGATTACCATTGTATTTTCCAATAATGAAAATTTCAAAACTTCCTCTTGCTTTTTTCTTCATCAATACATTAAATCCATATAACATCTCTTAATTAACATTATATGAACAAGCAGCCTTGACAGATTTTGTCCTTGCTTAAGAGACTCATCAGACAGCATGTTCAAATTCATCGTTATCCAAAGATAACAACGAAATTGCAATCTACCCCTATCAAAGACAGAGGAGACGCAGTGTTAAGTATGGCTACTCAAAATGAACAAGCAGCCATCTGATGAGTCCCTTAAGCAAGGACGAAACCGGTCACGGCTGCTTGTTCTACTATATGACAGACAAATGCTTTTTCATATTTTCAGTAATAAATTTAACTTTATTTAGATTAAATTCTAAACTACTGAAGTTCACAAATGTGATATAGTTAGAAGTGCCATGAGTACTTCACTCTGTGAATGCAAATGAATTCAAAATGAAAAGAAGAAATGAATAATCGGTAGACGATAGAGGGATAAAACAATAACTTTATTTTTCTTTCTTCGTGTACCGGACGGAAAGAAAAGGCAGAAAGAAAAAACTTCTTTAAAATGTCGATGAATGGTAAACTGAGTTTCCATATCCAGCGAAGAAAAATAGATAAAATATAAAATTGTTAATTATTGAGGTTTTTATTAGATTGGCACATAAGTTCTGCTGCACGTTTTTTTTTGCTTTTTTTAAGTAAATGTAAAGTTTAATATTTCGTGACTGGAAAACGATAGAGGTCTGAAATTTTTACTATAGGTAGATCTTCATGAGTTCTATCTATACTAAAAATTTCAGACCTCTATCGTTTTCCAGTCACGAAATATTAAACCTTACATTTGCTTAAAAAAGCAAAAAAAAAACGTGCAGCAGAACTTATGTGCCAACCGAATATTAAAACAGTTATATTCTAACTCATTTTATAATCATAAATTACACGAGAACAGACTTAGTTGATTATCTTGGTTGATCATACTTATTACTCATACATACTTGTACTATTAAAAAAAGAAATGGGGAAGATTACGGCTATCATATAAACTAAGGAAGACGGAATCATGTATGTGTAATCAATAACACATATTAATATTTAGTAATATTAATGGTAATTTTTCCTTACCATTTCGTTTTTGAACGTTAATAATGTCCTCATACTTTTTTTTTTATCATAAGTCGCGAAATAAACCATACTACAGTCGATCTTCTTAAATAGGTAGTAAAATAAAACGGTATTATTAAAAGTTAAGATTGTGTTATAATGTTCATTGAACACATCAAATAGAACATTAATTGTCGATACTTTGATTATTGAAGATATTCAATATGAGATGTGTTGCAAGCCTATTTCTGTTCAGCAAATCAGTTTATGATGGTGACTCTGTAACAAATCATAGATAACTTGCTTTTCGTCCTCATCAAATCTTAGCATCAGACAATATTTCTCTTATGGATTTTCCAGTAACAGTGAGATATTGCTAGGAAGATACGGTGACAATACGTCATTAAAATACATGTAAACTTGCGACGTGAGATATTTGCTGTAAGATGCTTATACTTCTACTTATTTTTATTTTGACTCGATGGTCATAAAAAGTTTTCTTCTTCTGAATTTCCTAATTACTAACGATAAATATCAGACTTATTCGTCTATTGTTTACTAGTCAAAGATACAAGTTCTAAACATCAATTGCCTCTTATACTAATAATCAGACTGATGGTCACTATTTCATGTTGTGTGATTTAGATGCATTCGACGACGTATAAATACTACACAACAGTGAAACTAAACACTTGTTACTGATCAGTGGCAGATGCATAGTGCAAACTACCACCGAGCAACAACCAGACAGTCACGATGTACATTACTCACTGAAAACATAATAATAATAAGATTATTGTATTTTTGACTTTTCTCTTCATAGCCGAAGCAAAACGGAAGAGTATTGTTAAAACGATTTTAAAGTGAAAAACTCAGTGGTAAACATGTTTAAACGAACTATATTTTTTTTAGAATAGAATTACTAGTTCAGCATTCATATTGCTCATCTGTGATTTTCGATCCAACAGAAAACTCGAAAAACTTCGCTATTACAGAAAGTGACTGTACTTTTCTTGACTTTTTGATTGTATTACATCGTGAAAAGAACTATTCATAAAGAAATTTTTGAAGATCAAAATTCTGTCATATAAAACAACGGGAGATCAAATTCTATTGCTGATATATCTTTTGATTTGACTTCGAAAATAGTGACTAAGAGATACAAAAATTTTCGACAACAAATTACATGGGGCACTACAAAAGTTTCTTCGGTCGGCTCTTTTAAAAGACTTGGTCAAGAACTAACTATACCGCTATAATGCCTAGACATAGTTAGGGTTATGTGCAAAATTTCAGACTTCTAAGTCTTGTGCTTTGTTGTAGTCCTTTATTTCTTTTGCACTAGGTACACTTGAATTTCAATATAACACATAATAGGTTGAACGGCCATGTTTTGTGTACCAGTTTTCAATACTTTAATAAGTTGTATTAGAAAAACAAAATACACCACAAGATGCAGCATGTAAAGCTCTACAATTTACACAAGACCACTTTTTTGACAGTTGCATATTTTGCTTTGAAAATGGACAAAGTTTCGAGTGATCAAATTGCGACATTGCAAAAAAATAACACGAACGAGAAATTTCTTTTTTTCTTGTTTGATGTTTTTATCGGCTATACAGATTGTACAGCTTCTCATGCTGCGTCTTGCCACATATTTTGTTTTTATTTACAAAAAGATATTAGATGGTAAAAAGATGAAACAAGAAAAAAAGTAGCGTATTCTGTGCTGCATCTTCTGATCTAGTGTGTTTTTCTAATATAACTATGAAAAGACGGAAAACTGATAAACAAATCGCAACTGTGTAATCTACATCACTGGCAAAAAAAAAGAAATAAAGGACTACAATAAAGCACAAGACTTAGAAGTCTGAAATTTTGCACATAACTCTAAATGTGTCTAGGCATTATAGCGATATAGTTAGTTCTTGGCCAAGTCTTTTAAGAGAGCCGGCCAGAGAAACTTTTGTAGTACCCCATGTAGATTAGATCTTTTGTATTTAACAATCGAATTACTTGATGTGACGGAAATATTTTATAAAATAAGTACATCTTATTAAAACATTTATTTTCGTTAGAAAAAGAAACAAAAATATTTGAAAATCAACATTGAAGTTCGAGTTCGATTACAAATGAAAATCTAGATATTTAATATGAATAAAGCAAAATTCATATTAGCACTTTATCATGGACACAGAAGAAAAGAATTTTATAGAATAAAGTCCACGAGATCACCATCAAAACAAGTTGCTGAAAAGTGTTAGTTTTTGAAATGAGTTAGCTAATTTCCAAGAACATAAAAAGTTAGCCAAAAACTTGAATCTTTACAACTTTTGAGTAAAGTCTTCTAATAATTCGTCAATCCAAATGTTTTGCAGTTATGTCAAAACCTATTGGATTTTGGTTCATTTTTTGTTTATGAATTTTTTCATCAAAAAAACTGATAGAGTACGATCTGCTCTACCAAACTCTATATTTTATATTTGTCATTATGTAAATATGTGTAGACGATCATTCTTTGATCTATTTCAGATGCTGGTTTTTTGCCTTTTTTTCTGTTTTGATGAAAAAAATATTGGCCCTAAAATACTGGCAACAATCTCGAAAAGTCTATGATAACAATGTTGTTCAGTACGCATCATTTTTTGATATTTTAATCAAAATGCACTTATCAATTCTTTATTAAGAGAGAGACTATTTACTTATGTCAAAATGCTTGGTTCTGTGTTATTTTTGAGTTTTAACATAGAAATTTTTATTAAAATAAAGGTATTACTTATAAATTGATATAAAACAATATGATTCTAGATCAGCTAAATATGTTTGGCACGTTTTCGTTAAATAAACTCACACCAATTTCCTTCAATTGATATCGATTTTATATACCTTTTGCAACACACTGGAAGTTGGGCTATCTGTGCATAATAGTATAGTTAGGAAAGCATTTTGTTTTTCCGACAGATTAAACACATTTTTAAAGCATAGGTTGTATTTAAGACGAATAGTTGTTGTTGTAAAGTTATTCAAAAAGTACTCAGGTCCACTTTACATTGAAATGGACAATAGCTATTCAATTGAAAAGAACCTTTAAGAGTTAGGGCTAAACCATAATATGAGAGAGATAGTTGTTTAAAAAAACGTGTTTCGGACAGATATTCTGGATTTAATTTAAGTTTTCAGACCTTAGTCTTTCAACCAAGGGAACATTTTTCGATGAAAACTAGTGTCAATATCATTGTGATCGTCCTAATTTTTTGATATGATCTTCGAAAGAATGAACAAATGCTCCTATGACATTAGATCTAGTAGAGTTTTAAACATATTGAATTTTTTCTTTTGATTGTTCGAGATTTTTTGCTGACTTTTGACTGATAGACGCAAGAATTTCATTTTATGGATATACTTACATGATGTGTGATGAAGAATGTGTTACTCTATATCTTATCTGCTGATTATAAATTGTTGTAAGATGATTAGCATCTATTTTATTATCACAATCAATAATATGAATGTCAATTCTATAGTTTAAAAATAGCTTCACTTAAATTCCAAGTTCTCCATTCGGCATGTGAACAACAGCTACAGCAAATGGACTCAGTGTAATTCGGTCTTCCGTCAATTTTGTCTCTATAGGAGGACCAAATCCAGATGCTTCGTTTACAATCTGCACCGTGCCACCGGTAGAGCCACGTAAGAGCACATCAACATTAGCGAATCGTTTATTGACAATCAATACCCATCGTTGGCGATTTTTGCGCACAAATGCTTGACTAAACACATTTTTTTCGCCTACATCGGTAGTACGCGTTATTACAGCTTGATCATTGTCAATATCGGCGGTGTCAATAAGTAACTTCGAAGTCCAATATTTGGCTGTTCCCTCCCCGGTAGTCCAATTGAGCATAGCAACACTTGGAAATTGCGGTTCGAGTTGTAGATTTGGTAAATTTGGATAGCCTATAAAGACATCAAAATACAATTGTCAACGCACTGTCAACATCTAAGGAAGAGAAACACGTACCAACAAGTTGACTATGTCCCACGACATCGATACCTTGTCGTGCTATTTTTGCCCATGCATAAGCATAGTAAGCTGCACCGGCATTCCAAAAAATAAGTGGAAACTGAGGTGCATCTGGATTATTATCATCAGGAAGAATAATTCCCAATTCATCGATAGTTGTTCTTGTTTCGGGTGATAGAGCTTTGCGAATGTCTTCAATTTGTGTGATTTCAGTTGTGAAAGTGTCAAGCTGTGGAAAGAATGCTTCATAACTGAGTGGATCTATTCTTGATGTGCTTGATGCATAAAAATGATAAGAGATCATATCCAGTGGAATGCCAGGTGCATGATTTGAATGATTGAGAAAATAGCGATATCGATCAAATTCATTATGACCTATGTATTCAATGACAAAACATTATATGTTTGCTTTTTTTGAAGTATACATTTCTACATAGTTAATTTTAAAACCTACCAGCATGTGCCAATCCAACATATTTCATTTCAGTATTGTTTGTATGTCTTCGAATGCCTTGAATGACAGCATCGTAAGCTCGAGTATAATATTCGACAGACATTCGGTGTTCGGCTTCGATTTCGTTGAATATTTCTGTGTAATCCCAATCGTATGCATAGTTCGATACATGTTTTCTACCATATTCATCGAAGAAACCACCTCGAGTGTACCAGGCAGTGAGACGGCCATAATAATCGCCTAAAGCTTGCATCGTATCATCGACCAATTCTGTTCCTTGTGGATAGCCCCAGTCAACTTCGGAGGCATTGTCCGGATAGATGTGTGGTGTGTCGAGTTTAAATAACCACACGGGTTGTGTTGAAAACATGATAATACGTGAATGTCCATTGGTAGCAGCAAGAAAATCTTTGAAACTCGGATCAAGATATGTAAAATTCCAGTAGGTATTATTTTGTGGTGGGTTGCATTGAATTTGAACGAGTAGTCGCTTATGTGTTCCAAAGCCTATGAATGAAAGATTACGATTAGTAATAAACAACTCACAAAGAAAACGGAAAATATTTCCTTGCAGAATTTTGGAAAACAACTGATGAAACTTACATGGATCTCCAAAGGCAGTAGGCGAGGCTGTTACACTACATTCTTTCTGACCGATACACGCTTTCTGAACAACTTCTAAACTTGTAGCTGCATGACATGTGCCCTGTTTCATTTGACCACATGCACCACTTGCTGTTCCGTATGAAGCAAAGTCTACACTGCTTATTACACCACCACCCTGTTCACATGATAATTTAACCGAATAGCTTTCACCAACATTGCCACATTGCAGTAAGCCTGAGGGAGGATCAAGTTCAGCGATAGCTAGTTTTGGATAGGGAAACCAAGCAGCATATCGAACGTATTCAGCATTGAGCTGAGCCAAATTGTCAAATATTTGTTTACGAATAGGTGATGACTGTGTAGATACGAGTGGATTAGTGACGATCTGTAGACTTGGTATTGTATGTAAAAGAAAATCGTTTTGCGACCATGTTACTTCGATTACAATCGGATCACCGACCTTGTGTTGTTGATGCTGTGCGTCATTCTCAGACGTGAAATCAATGTGAGCACTGCTGAAGATGAAATGAGAGAATAAAAATATCCAAACACTCTCGAGGACTCTCATTGTTAGAAATGAGGTAAATAATATGTTTCATTGTCTTTTTCTTGCGTTTAAGATGTGCGACGGCAAATGT